ACACACACACACACACACACACACACACACACACACACACACACACAGCGAGAGGCGGTGGTTTACCAGTGGCTCTCGGGGGCCTGTCTGCAGCTGTGTTGGGGGAGGCTGAGGCGGCTCTGTTGGAATCCAGCAGAGAGTGGATCCAGTTGGAGGCGCCCTGTCGGAAATCTCTGAGCAGCAGAGCCGTGTCTCTCCTCACCAGGCTCAGCGTGCTCGCTTTCTCTACCTGCGCCTCCGTCTGCGGCTCGCTGCCTGGAGCGGGAGACACGGAGGAAAGCGGCTTAGTGGGGAAAGATAGAGGAAGTGAGATTTAAGTGTTGGTGTTGTTCTCAAATAAGCATGAATGAGTAACAGAGACGCAATAGTAGGAAAGGTATAATAGCAAAGAAAACCGCTGACAGTGGGTTAAACACTGCAACACAGACGGCATAGTGATGAATAGAACATTAGTGTTTTAGTTCAGTTATTTGGCGTAGTTGAACAATTACTAGACCTCCGCCGTCCTCCTCTTTATGTCCGACAACAATTTATCAAAAGTTACTCCTGCGTCTCACATACATTAATGACAACACATGAAAAACAATCTATATGCTAATAAGTTGAGCTGTTGTCAGTGAAAGTTTTTCAGACATGATGCAACACAACTAGAATAAAATCCATGAAGATTTATGATTACATTTATTTTAATATTATACACATTGCGTACTACATGAGGAATTGTGACAACAGTGAGATCCAAGATGAGAGCAAAACAGTTTTATGATTAATATGATCATTATTACCGTCCTAAATCTAAAAAGATTGGCAGTGCAGACAGTGGTTGAATTGATAAGTCGACACAGAATCTATTTCAACATTGCTCATCAATGTTCATATAATAAACGGAGTACTTGTACGTTGTGTTTTAGCTGCTGGCCAGACTTTCTTCAAAGATTTGAGGCATCACTTTGGGCTTTTTATAAATTGTTATATTAGCTAGTTAATCAAATGGAATAGAATAGATTGGAAAGAAACATCTTAACTAGTTGCAAGTCAGCATCATTATTGTTAACAAACCTATGACGACGGTAAAGAGCATCATGTATGATGTGGAGCAGCAGACGGCAGAGACATGCAGAGATGTTTGAAAGAAAGAAAAGGACAACAGATAAAAGAAGTATCCGGACATGATTCTAAACACACACACACACACACCTGCGTAGGCGCTGAGGCACCTGGAGAGCACACTGAGCGGCAGCAGGGGATCCATAAGTGTTAGCAGACGGGAGGGCGAAGCGTAGGCAGTCAGCAGGGTAGCCGGGTAGATTGCGACAAGGCCATCTGGCATCCGCACACCAAAGGCAGCAGCACGCATAGACGTAGTCACGCACAAGTTGCCTCCCGCACTGTCACCAGCCAGACACACCTTTTCTCCGGTCCAGCCTGGAGGGGTAAAAATAGCACGGTGATGATAGAGGTGAAGAAAAGAAGGAAAGGAAAGAAAAAAAAAAAAAGGGGGAAAAGAAAATTGGATCACAGAACAAAAAGAGACTCGGCAGAACTAGAATTGGCCCCAGCGGTTGTACAGTATGCGTCCGCCAACTAGTCAATTTGCAGTTTACATCTGTCCAAAAACATGTTTTGTGAGGTCACAGTGAACTTGACCTTTGACCACCAAAACCTCATTAGAGGATGTCTGTGCCAGATGGAACAGAGATGGAGAATGGAGAATTGGACGGATGGACAATCTGAAAATATAATGCCTCCGGCCATGGTGCAGCCGGCTCAGAAGCAGTAAAAAAAAAAAAAAACGGCATTTTCTGAGACTGTGAAATATACTGTGGTGCAGGAAAAAGCAACGTGCCACACATCCAGACTCAGGATCTCTTTTCTCCACCACAACACTGCTGAATATATGACGTTGAGAGGGTGTTGACTCGCTGCCAGCCTCATGGCCGTGGTATCGTCTTCTTGTACTACAACACGAACATATTGCGCCGCGATCACTGTTAATTTGACACAGTGTGCTTCAGCGGGCGGGTGTACCCCAAACCGACCAGATGTCTTTTGTTGTCTGCCTGAATATTGAGCATCACAATTTGTGAGATATTGCAGAACAACGGGTAGCGTGTGAGACTATGTGCTGCGGCGTGATTACTTTCAAAGTGATGAATGAATCCTCTAAAGAGGTACAGGGAATGGGTAAACCGAGGCAGGGATTTACTGAGGCAGTCCACAGGACACCTTCACTCTGAAAGAGAGTTTTATCTGCTCATTGATTCTAATAAACAAACTTTCTTTAACCTGCCTAGTTATTTAGCATTTCAACTGCATGCATGAGTCTTATTACTTAAAAAGTGAATAGCAAAGGTACGGGAGAGCCTAAAAAAAGCCAGTACTTTGATATAATCAATGATGTGTGATGTGTTATGTACCCAGCAGGTGGTGGTTTCTCAGAGCCCAGCAGTAGGCGTAGAAACACTCCTCCAGGGCCCTTGGGAAGGGGGCCTCAGGGGCCAGCGAGTAGTCCACCGACAGTATGGGGACACCAAGGTCCTGGGACCAGCTCTTCAGATAGGGCTGCACCAGACAGAAGACATGGGTATGGAGGGGTGAATTTATGAATGAAAAAAAACAAAAAACAGTTTCACAGTGAAAATATTACATTCAATTGATGAGACACGACAGCAGGAGACAGAACAGTGTTGGGAGAGAGAACATTAAAGGAAGTGGTGGAAGGATGGGGTGAACATTAAAAAGAAAGGATAAAAAGTTAAGAAAATAATATCTCCCTCTGAAGTCATCTATCTGCTTTCTGATTTACCGTCTAGACGACAGCAGAATGAGCGCTGCCCTCCCAGTCACCTTCATTTTGTTCTTTCTCATACAGCAATAACAAAAGGTGCCCACATGTCCTAGTCTGCTGGGTACGAAAGGAGAAAAGACTAAGACCAGGGGATGGTGTGGATTTACAGGGATAGTCTACAAAAACAACTCTCCGTCACAATACAGAGCGTCTCGCTTTTCCTTGTTGCTATAGTCAGAATAAGTGTTTTTACTATTCTTATGCCAATCCAAGGCAAGCGCTTCACAACTGCAATGCAGTGACCTTGAAAAGGCATCCAAAATTGTCGTGACAAAATATTCCTTCTACAAAGCATTCGTCATTTCCTCCTCAGTCTTTATCTTCTCCCAACACCTTTTTGACTAGCTGTGACAGGGCTGGCGATGAAAGAGGCAGCTCTCCATCCACTCACAATGCCAGGAAAAGCACAGTGTGTGTGTGTGTGTGTGTGTGTGTGTGTGTGTGTGTGTGTGTACCGTATGTTGCGTCACCTACCAGTGATTCAGCATGAAAAATAACAAAATAGCAGCTCCAGCAGTCAGCTCCACTGTCTTTAAGCCCTACTTGTCACAACAAATCTTACAGTGAGACCACTGACAAGTAAACGTTCAAGCACTGTTCAGGTCAGTGTTGGTTTGTATGAAAAAAGTAGCCCGAAAGGTGGTGTGTGTGTGTGTGTGTCTCAACAACAGCCATTGTTGCCAGTGAGGGTCCATGGACAGGTGTGTCAGACAGTTCATCTGCCCGCATAGAAGGAGCAAAGGAATCGCACCAAATGGCCCACCGGGCAGAAAAGAGGTACGCGTGTGTGTTTTTGTTGGACTGGGACCAAGGCTGGTTCATTTTATACGATGACTCAGGAAACTCATGTCATAGTCATACACACACACAACTACTCTAGTGACAAAGGAAAAACACCAATTTAGAAAGTCCCAGATCTGTTCTCAAAGCAGGAATTAATGGGAGCTGCAGTCCCACTCACTCTCAGACAGGCAGAGCAGTTAATCTGCAAGTTTATACCTCTACTGGGATCGGGAGTGTGTCTGTGTGTGTGTGTGTGTGTGTGTGTGTGTGTGGTCGTGCCCAAGTTGCTAAATGCTAGATGCCAGCACATCCATTCCTGTGATCTCAGCATAATTGGGCCCAGAGAGCACCAAAGGCTCCTGTCACTGAAGTCCAACTCTCCATCTCACCCAGACGTCAGGACAGACAGGATCGAGGCAAGGACACAGGACATAGTACAAAGGTCTTCTGCCCTAAGAGAAACTTTAAAAAATGTTCTATTCTCTCTTTCTTGGCTTTGCCTCGGGGATTAAGAGAGCAGAAGGCATCGAGGAATATTAAGAAGGAGGCGATATCATGTTGCCCAAATAAGACAGGAGGAAGATGTTAAAAAAAAAAGGACACTAAGTGAACAAAAAGGATTTTGTGAGATATTAAAAAGACTGCGAGGAAGGCTGTAATAAGGAAGGCGAGCGAAGAAGAGTCTTTCATTAGTGCATGGCCCCAGGGTAATCTTCCTCTGCGGGGTTGTACAGTTCTCTGTTTAATTCAACATGACAGCCCTGGTCACCCCTGCCTCCGATTGCTCCCTCTCATCCTCCGGTTGCTACAAAAAGGATGCCCAAGTCTTTGGCGATTTCACAGAGCCCTGTGTTGTGGTAGCTGTAAGCAGCCTGATGACCAGACCGGCGTCGGACGAACAAGGAGACGTCGAGGCACAAACTGTGTTTTATGGAGTAATGACAAGAAAGATCCAACATAATTTCTAAAGACATGAGGCCAAAGCTTCAGGAGTGTGTGTTGGCGTCCCTTTTTCTATCACAGTGATCTAGATATTTAATCTAGGACATCAGCTCCTCCTTGTTAAGAAAAAAACAAAAAGGGATGAGGAAGAAGTGAATGACAGGAAGCAACGATTTGCATGAAAGAGAGGAGCCAGCTTTAAGTTATACTATACAAGTTTTCAGGGATTAATTAACGAATCATTACAGGTCAAACTATTGACAATAACTATTAACACTTAAATCGGCGAGAAAACTCAGCCAGACTTCGAAGCACTGCAGGGATGAGAAGGTGAACTGAACGAGCGCTTCAATAATGTCCAGGTGTCTAATGGTGGAGGTGTAGTGTTGTCAGCGATGTGTAGGTGTCACATTTTGACCAGCTGTTTAGTTATAAATATCACATATAAGTAAAATACTGTCCCATGCCTCTGGTTCTGAAGAGGGAAGCCAATGCAGAAAACTCTAGTAATAAAGCGTAACATCTCACCTCATGTGACTTGGAGGTCTGGGCCACAAATCCTCCCCCATGGAAGTGGATCAGGAGGCAGGGAGACGAGGGGAGGCGCTTGGTCTTCAGCCCCAGAGACAGAGAGATGGAGCCGCCCTCAGAGCGAGCGAGAGACAGCAGAGCCTCACTGTCCTGCAGAGAGTGTGACAAGAGAGGTAGTGGAAAAAAAGGAATGAATGAACAAAATGAGAAGAATCTCATACAAATGAGAAAGAACATCACATGACGACAGATGGGGATGTTTGCAGCACTGACAACTGTCCACAGACTGTGTGTGTATTGCAAACACGGCCTTGTTTTCATTCTCAAGATATTTTATTACTAGTGTTAGCAACAGGGCTTCTTTTGAGAGAAAGATTAACTAGCTGTTCTGTAAAAAGCTTGCTGCCAGCCTCTCCTGAGCCTGCATGAACGCACGCTAATTCCCATTTATTAGCAGAAACAAGGAGGGAGGGAACTTGTGGCAGAGGGGGAGCGTTTTTTTTCCGCTGATGCAGGCTTGTATTTTGCATCATTAGTAAAAAAAAAAAAAAAAAAAAAAAAAAAAAAAGACACTGTTCTTTTGTTGCGGCGGGATCAATGGCTGAAAGTGTTTGTTGATAGCCATGTCTGGTTGTGTGCTAAGCTACAAAGAAATGAGGAGTGCAAGCTCGGATGGCGAGAGGGAGGGTGTAGAGAAAGTGATGCCTATGATGGAGAAAGTAGAAAGAGAGAGAGAGATAATGAAGGGGATTAAGTCCACGAGGATAAGTCAGAGCTGTCGTTTGCTTTTGCTCGGAAAAATACCAGATATGCTGTTCTATATTGTTGCAATATTTTAAGAATTTGTATGATTGCAAGGTGGTTTAAAAAGAGCCAGCGGAACACCGTCATAACCTAGGTCACACAAAAATACTTACAGGAAATACAAACGCCATCTAGTTTTGCATAAAATCTGACATTATGGAGCTTTTTTTATTGCATATTCCATTCTGCCACTACAGTGTGAACAGAATAACGATTTAGATACCTGTCCTTCACGTAAGTCATAGGAGATGAGCCTCATCTGAACTGGAGCGGTGCCGATGTGTGCTGATGGTCGAGCTATAGTTACAGATGTTCTGTGGTTGGCCGCCAGGGGAAGGTCAAAGGGCACAGCGGGCACGGAAAGAGCCCGGTTCACCTTCACCTGCGTGGATGTCATACTGGCAAGACTCTGGAGGAAGAGGGAAAAAAAAAAAAAAAAGATTTATACAGACAGAGACAGAGAGAGAGAGAGAGAGAGAGAGAGAGAGAGAGAGACAGAAAGGCGGAGAGGAGTGCAAGTTACAGAGCAAGTCAGGCCACTGGAGAGAGAGAGAGAGAGAGGGAGAAACTGGATGAATAAATCATGAACCCCATTTAATAAGTTGAATTCCACTCTATTATTTCTAACGGCCTATAGGCCTAAATACATAATGATAGAAAGGTACCTTTACCAGAGGAAAGTCAAATATTCTTGCTACAGTTTTGAAATCAAAAAAAAGTTTTCTGTGAGCATGGGTTAGTGGTAACAACACTGGTCGATTACAGATGTCGTAGGAGTGAGTGAGTGAGTGAGTGCGTGAGTGCGTGCGAAGTAAGTAAGTAAGTCTACTCACCGACAGGACTTCGGTCTCAGTAATGTTCCAGAAGCTCTTCCAGAAATGGACGTCCAGGTTCTGGGTGATGCGTTCAAATTCGGCCCCTCTCAACTCTGGGTCGATGGCGTACTTCCCCGAGGTGAAGAAAGAGCTGGCTGCGACGCCTGGAGGAAGGGAGGACGGACAGCACAATGAGGAGGGTAGAATAAAGGTTAGGACACACCAGAGACGAGGTAGTGGAAGAAAAAAAGAATATAAATTCGTTTAAAAGGAAAGAAAAGAGGAATGTTTATGGTTGAGGATGGAGACAAAATGGAGACAAAAAGTGATTGGTACAAAAACAAATGCTCAGAATAACGGGGATGAAAACAACAATTTCACAAAGACAGAAACAGGAGGGACAGCAGGAACAAGAAGGGAACTTTTTAAGTGTAATAAGTGACTGGACAGAACAACACAATTAGAAAAACTTAAACTCGCTGACAATGCAAAAGGAAGAAGGAAAGGCAGGTGGTCAAGAATCAGAGATAAGGCCCTAATTGAGAAAAAGCGTCAAACTCAACGGCGTGAAATGGCTTTTTTCTCACAGCGCTATAATCTTATTGTGACACAGATGTTTCAGACCTACTGCGCTAATGCTAATGTTGAAACCAAAGCATTTCATCCTGGTATTGCTTTTAATGCTCTACAAGAAATCAAGGCTGGGCAGAAAAGAGAAGGGAAGCAATCGCCCTTTCAGATAACTTCCACTAAACTACAACACAAACACAGGACAGCTAATGCCACTTAGGAGCTGTAGGACAGAAGCAGCTTCTTCATGTAGCCTGTGTTCACTACAGAGGACTACCATGAAGGGGTGAGAGGGTTCCAGTACACTCACCATATGGTGCAATACCTCCTGCCTCCACTGCGGTGCAGCACAGAGCACAAGAAACCATTAGAGCCGAATGATTCCTTTTTGGCTGTTAAATATTTACGTGTGTGTGTGTGTATGATGGTGCGTGTTCTTCTATCTTTGCCTCTGTACATAATAGTGTGCTTGTTCAAAACATTCTGAAATATAGAAGAAGCAGCAGCAGCTAGCCCTCGAGATTCCAAAGGATGAAAGAGCATCTACAATTCAAGCACACAACATCAAAAAGGTACACGGTCAGGGGCCAAGCAGCAATGTGAGGAAGAGTCGTGCGGATGAGTACGATCTGTGAATGAGAATTTAGGTGACTGGATGATGAGAGGGATGAAGGTGCTGACCTATTCCAGACTGATGGCGTTTGTAGTTTTCTCCAAAGGCCACAAGGCCAATAGCGATGGTCTGGAGACAGGGACGAATGGCCGGACTGAACTGGAGGACAAAACAAAACAGAGACAGACTTTAAATTCTAATCTATGGTCCATTTAAAAACAAGAGGCTAAAAAGGTTACAATTAAAACTGCTGTTATTCGACCAGAGAAAGTGAAATATAGATGTTGGGATATCAGAATATCAGATGAGTCTGAGCCAATATACATTGATGCAGACAGTACCAGGGAGGTTTCATCATTTTTTTCCCTTTAGTTTGATTTTGACCTCCGTCTGCTGAGGGTTGAGCCTCTCTTGTTAAGCTCAACTAAGAACAGAGACTATGGCTGGAAAGAGAAGCCATTCCTCTGCCCCTCTAAACCTTTCTGGACGTGTGTGGGGAGCTTTATTCTGTACGACAGGCCCTGTTAATATAACAATATAAAGAATTTATATGGAGCTACAGAATGTAACACAGGCGGTGATATTAAGTGTACCTTTAATAACAGAACTGTCAATGCATGTGTGAAGTGAGAAGTGGCGAGTTTGAGGTTGCTTTCATTTCCCTTTTCTCTGCATTGTTGTGAGCGGTATCTCTCCAACTCTAACCTTTGTGCACATTTAAGTATTTCCTGCCTTTCTTTCTTCCCACTTTTGCTTTTCCTAAAAAAAACCCAGTTCAGGACCATCCCGCATGAGGCACTGCTATTTCTAAGCCTCCCCTTTCTTTTCCCCTCTTCCCGCTCCCTATCCCGGCACCACGAAGCCTCGTCTCACCTGAAAGCCAAGGCAGCGGCCGTAGAAGCAGCCCTTGTGCATTGACGAGTACTCGTGGACAAAGCTCTCACTGAGGCCACTTTCATCCTGGAAAAAGAGGTTGCCGTGGCTGTTGTCGTGTAGCATGCGCTGAGCCAGGTAGAGCAGGGCGCGCAGCTGGCACAGAGCGTTGCAGTAGGCCTCCATCTCCCCCGCATTGTGCGCTACTCGGAAGAAGATGCTGCGGCGGTTGGCGGTGATGTAGCGCCCCTTCTGGATGATGTGGAGAAGGCAGCAGCGCAACACCTGGAAAAAAGGATAACGTCTTCAAGTCTTGTTGCATTCTTGAGATAATGATTGATGAGCTTTTGGTTTTGCATTTCTTTTCTGTATAGTATTATGCCTTATAACAAACTCCTAGTTCCTTAATGGTGCTATCATTAAAGAGCCAAGTCCACTGGGTCTGCTTAAATTGTAATTAAGATTAGGATGGTCAGCTTGAAGAAGGAAAATGAACAATGTAGAACAGCTTGCCTGAAAGAGAGCATGTGGAAGACCTGCTGCTTCAGCAGGATCGTACCGATTAGTCTGAGTAGCAGTGTGGGAATGAGACGGACTCTAAATGTTGAAATCAAGGGGCAAGAAAAGAGAGCAGCATTCGTTCGCTGCTCTGCTAGAATGCAGCCACTGAAGGTCATGATGGTTCATCAATAACTGTAGAAGATAAAGTACAGTAGGTACAGTAGTGGGTAGATATTCTGCAGCTGGAGGAATTTATCCAGCCTGATTTGCAGCATAAAATCAATCTGTAATACAAATGGGCCGCCCTTGAAACAAAGCGATATCAAGCTGGGCTGGTGAGCAGTTTCTCACAGTGTCGGGAGAACATCGATATTGCGGTATGGGGGCATATTATTCTCATAGCTGCACTGGTGGGAAATGAGAACACAGACAAAAAGATCCAAGACGTGACAAACATCCCCGAAGCTTACCTTGACCAGTGAGCGGTAGCCGTTGGCAGGTATGTGTGGGTCAAAGTCAAAATGATGGTAAACTGCGGCAAAGCCAGAGACAACGGGCTCCAGACTGCGAGCGTGCTCCTTGATCAGCTTCATGGTGTTCACCAGCCGGCGGGCGGCATCGCCCTGCGAGCCCTTGGCGCCTCCTGAGAAGAAGGTGGCGTTCTCTTCACACACGCTGTACAGGGCCGCGAACACCGCCTTGGTGTCCATCACTAAGAGCAGCGAGATAGAGAAAGCAAGGCACGAGGGGGAAGCAGAAATCAGCCGCATGTAGTGAAGGTTGAACAATTCTTCATGCGACTCTTTATGTATTCTTGCGGGGAAATTCTTTTTACATTAGGCAGATTGCTGACATAGGGGGCTTATATCACAAGAACACCTCCCTGATCCCCGTGCATACTCAATGTGTAGAATTAAAGGTTTTTTTGCTCCGTGGTTAGCTGGCATGAGGTCCTGCAAGCATTAAAAAGGAGCACCTTGATCCCCATTATGCACCACACCCACATTAGCATGTAGACACTGTACAAAGTGGGGTATCATTGGATATATCCTACATAATGTTCTCCTTCTCCTATTAACTAATCCCCCATAGCCCAGCGTATAGAAGTTCATTGATTGAAACGAGGTAAGCAGGCCTTTGCAATTAAATGATGTAAAGCCCGGCTAAGCAGACAAAATCCACCGAGATCGAGGCAGACATGCGTGGAACGGGAGGAGGAGGCAGAGAGGCCCTTTGCTAATGTCATGCTGCTGGGGGGAAAAAAAGACTGATTAGTCATACACTGACAAAAACACATAAACACACTCACATAAGAGTCCCAAAGGGAGGTATACAGCTGACAACACACAGCCGAGTCCGTTTATCTAGTGTGCCCATACCCCTGCCCTAATGCAGCATAACACAGATCTCGTGCTACGTCCCTGTTGGATTCCTACTGAAGCGCTGAGCTCTTCTGTCGAGTCACCCGAGACCTCTGTTTCCACTGAAGCTAAGCCTGGGAACTAGTAGGTACTTACTGTATAGGGTGACGGGCCCGCTGAGAGACAGCGGGAAGAGGAGCAGGGCCGGTGGACACACACAGAGAATAAAAGCAAAAAGAACTGAGACTGAGCAGTGCTTTCCTAATAGAAGTTTTTTTTAAGGGGAGGAGCGGACACGGAGAAGGAAAAATAATTTCTCCGTTATGGATGGGTGTTAACCGATTTCCTTGCAGGGCTGAAGTACATTTATGGAGATAACAGATAATTGTCAGCCGCTCTTGGAATTAGCACACAACTTTTTCTATTAAAACTTCTACTGAGGCTGCTGCAATGAAGCAATACAGAAAAAATAAGTAAACAGCACAGTAGTTTCTCAACAGATCCCCAAAGCAACATCTTGTGCAGTGCAGACTGCCCACGCACCCTTAAAAGTGTACAGATTCTACAAGTGAAATATTGTTTCGGGGGGGGGGGGGGGCAAAGAAATAATGGAGCCTTTATCGCACAATTATTCCGCTATTCAGGAAGAGTAATGGGAGAGGCAATTCCAGTTTGCTGGGAGGAATCACAACCCCCCTGACATCTGGGAAGAGTCATCTCTGGTGACTGTTGAGTTTGATTCAATGACAGATAAAGTGGCAATCCTTAACATTTCAGTCCTGGTCGAGTTATAATTTATATTGAGTGAAAACAAAAGGAATTGTGCTTCGAGTTCAGTAATCTGGGGTCTCAGAGTTCACAGCTTTAAATGAACAGATGTCCCCCTATCCCAGTAACATCTCAACTGGTTCTGTCACTACATTCTAGTTGTTTACTTATCAACTGTCTTTGCAGGAGCTTTAGGATACGTCTCCACAGAACAACATCACTACAGTGTATTCATCTCAGAGAGATTACACAACAAAACAGACGTCTGACTTAATACCTTTCAATTGAACCAATACAAAACACATCTGGGCTCATCGTGGTGTCATGCCCTCCTTCTGCTGGTTCACACTCGTGGCAGGTCGCCCCATATTTGTCTGGTCAACGTTTCTGTTTATCTTTTAACCATGTTTATACATGCTGGGTTCAAAGTAACTGTTTATATAGAGGTCTCGTACGGTTATTCTGCAACATATTCCCTTGACCCCCCACCCCCACCTCATATTTGCCGCCCAACGTGTGTTCGAGTCAAGGCCGGGGCACCTTCCACTTCTCCAGCCAACCGGCAATCACGCCAGAGGCCCCATATCAGGTAGGAGATTTCATATCTCACTGTAGATTCTTTATTGATAGCGTGATTCTTGCTTGTGTGATGGAGTGGGAGTGTCGGGGGGGGGGGAACCAGCGTAAGGGAGAGCTCTCCAGGGCGGCCCTGTGTGCTGGCCGAACACCCAGGTGGTTATGTGTGAAGATGTGGACCGGTCCGTGTGCGTCTCTAGCTCGTGAGATGCATGTGCTGTTCATAAAGCAAATTCTGTAAAAGAGGATACAAAAACTCCATTAGGAGTTGGAAATGTAGGTTGTATGTGTGTATGTGTGT